TGTTTTTGTTAGAATGAGCCATTTTTATCTACAGAGGGGGTGGGTCCTCTTTCTCGGAGTCCACCATGTTGAACCACCATGTTTCTACAGTAGCCCAGAATGGTCAAACCAGACACTGGCTGTAGATAAGGCCTTCTGTGTTTTTGGCGAGTTTTGCAACCAGTGTAGTTTCTCCTACGCCCGTTTTCATTCTCAGGTTGTTAAATACAGGTGCCAGCGGTGTTCAGTTAGCTGCAATATGAAACTCCCCCGCTAGACACCACTAAATCTTGCAGACTGATCCTTTAAATGTCCACTGAAGCTTCCGCTCTACTTATGAGAAAAAATGAAAGCAGACAAAAAACAATTAAGAGACTGAAATAAATAAACAAAAATAAATGCTATATTTCTAAAATTATGTTTCTCTAAATATGCTGTATACAACTTAAAAGAGCATTATAGAAATCTGTACCACTAACACACAAACACAGGATTGAGTACGGGGCAAAGTAATCTTTTCCCTCCATCTCCTTTCTTTGACGGGCCCGGCCCTACCCTGCAGAATGCGAATCTGGACACCCTTTCCCCGGCTGATCCCCCAGGACCCACAGCCCTTTCCAGCTCCACATAGGAAGCCCCATGCATTATGCATCACCATCCAGGCCTATTTCAGAGCAGAGAAGCAAAAAATAGATAGAAACACAGAGCTTCCCGCAATCATTCCCACAGTTGCTTATGTTTCTGAGGAAAACGAGGTCTCGTTCCAACCATACGGAATTACCAAGAGGAAAACATGAAATATTTAGCATTGTCATCCCCTTCCTCCCCCTCGCTATTTTCTGGCTCAAACTTCCTGAGGGAAAAAAAGTCCAAAAAAAGTGAAAGATGGCAGAGAGCTCACAGTGTGTTTTCTTCCTATGATTATCTGAATGCTCCCTTTTTTGGGGGGGGGGAAGAACCAACGTGGATTGGTAGAGGTCAGGATTGCAAGATTTCTCCTCAGGGGGCGGGATGACACACGCAGAGGTGGAACATGGGATTTGATTTATGCTCCTTGGAAGTGGTGAGGAGAACGGGCTGGGGGTGCAGGCTGGTATAGGTCGGATCAAAGCAGACGTGTAGCAGAGTGATGATGGTCAGGCGCGGTGAGGCATTTAGCATGCATAAATGGACCAACAACCACAAGCAAGTGCATAGAGTACATGCATGCATTCATGACAGGATACAACAAAGTGTTTTTTTTTTTAGACAGGGGCATTTGTATGAAGCAGCACACACCTACACACAGGGTGACCTTGACACAATATGCCTCCACAGGTACCTTCCTCTGAAAATGTGTTTTTGGCACCTGAATAGGCCTCGTCTATTGACATCAAGGCTGTCCAACCTGCAGACCTATTATTTTCTGCTCTCCAAAGGACTGCACGCTATAAAATGCTCTGGCAGTCACCTAGCTTTTGTCCTTTTTTTGAGTATGAAAATGTAATATTTTCTGTGTGTGTGTGCAGGCATGCATTCGTTCTGTATGTGCAATCTCCTCTAACATGGCTACTTTTCATCTTGTACTGATGCATGTAACGCCACCGCTGAGCTTCTTTTTTTTCCCATAAGGAGGATAAAAGCAAAATCACTGTGTGGGAACACTGGGGGCCCTTTCAATTCTCTCTGGGACATCAAAGCACACAGCAAGATGCTGCACTATTAGAGTCCATGGGTGGGATGGAAAATATATTACAATATCTCCCCTCTGCTGAAATCCATGACGAGGGTTTCATAACAAAGAGCAGACTTCTTTCAGTCATTTGTCTCCTCTGAGGATTGTGATTAATCTAACCTTTGATGTTTTGAAACAACAGGGAGGAGGAAGAGATGAGGGGGCCGCTGGGGGGAGCTGCACAGGGATGTAAAGACTCAGTAATACACTGCTTTGAATGCCACGCTAATGAAGCAAATTGAATTGAATCGCACAGGATATTGAAACTGTATTGCAGAGAGTGACACAGCATGCAAGCGCAATGCACAACAGCCCACTGTTAAAAGATTGGGTTGAGATAGAAGGATAAAAAAACTCAACTCTCAGAGGGAGAGGGGAGGAATGAAGAGTCGTAGGAAATAGAAGTGCGGGATTACTTTACAACCCGTCAACCGCTGTGTATGATGTGTGTTTAAAATGAGATGCGGTGCGTATCAAACACGTCCTTTGTTGTTATTCACAGAGCAGATGTGCTGGAAGGTGTGAACTGCAGAAATGTTCACGCTCACACACTAACACACAGACATGTATGATCAACTTACAGACGAAATGCAGAGTGTGTATGTGCGGGTGTGTGTGTGCCTCCAAGGTTATGAGGCGCAGGAAGTGCCATTAGGTGTGAATTAGGCAGAATAAAAAATGAATCCTCTGTCATGCATTATTAAAACTACCCTAATTGCATTTGCATAAGTTCATGGGATGCACGTGTGCAAGCATGCAAGCATGTGTGTGCATGTGCAAGTGGATGCAGACTTTCTTTCTTATAGGATTATATGTCATTTTCTGAATCATAAAAGTTTCAAATTCTCATTTTTTTCTCTTTATCTTGATGTTTGCTGTAAACCCGTTATTGTTTCTCTTTAACCTGTTCTTACAAATTCCTTCCAGTTCACCTGACGAAAGCAAAACAGACCACAGAGAACAGATTTCCACCAAGCCGGCCCTCGGTTACCAGATGGCTCTGTGTCATCTTAACTTTGATCACAGTATAACATGTGGTACTATTTTGCAGAGAGCACAGGGTATTGCTACCTCTTTGCACAATGAGCTCTGACTTACACTTATGTAGCAACATTGCCCCTGTGTGGTGAAAGGGACAAAATGTTCATCCTATCCTAAGGTTTGAGTTGTCATGATATCAAAATTTGTGTTTGTGGTAATAGTCACCATCATTCTTAATAGTATGATTAATAGACTTTTTTAAATGTCATGGAAATGTGTATGTAGATAGTGGGGTCAATTGATTTTTTTGTAATACAGATACAGCACTGTATTATAAGTTACAAATCACAAACAATAATACATTAAAGGTCCGGACAGCCCAGAAGGGACAAAGCAGACACTAATTCTAGATAGGGGTGTATTCACTCTCCTTTTAATGGACCAGTGTGTAGGATTTAGTGGCACCTAGCAGTGAAGTTACAGATTGCAACAATACCGCTCGCCTTGCAAGCGTGTAGGAGAAATTATGATGGCTGTGAAACTTGCAACAACCAAAAAATTGTGAAAGACCCTATTTGGAGCCAGTGTTTGGTTTGTCCCTTCTGGGCTACTGTAGAAACATGGGGGTTCAACATGACACACTCCGTAGAAGAGGACCCTCTGTAGATAAAGCGGCCCATTCTATAGTAACAACAAGTGATTATACACTAATGAAAACATACCTATGAATATTATATTACATTTCTGCCAGTGATGATTTTGTCTGTAAATGCTCCACTTTGTTCACTAGCTAGTTGCTAACTGTGTCCATCTTCTGTTTGGTGCTCAGTAGGTAGTGTACAGTGGTTTTGTCAGAGCTTTTTTACTAAAGACATCTGCCTGCTGCAGCTGCTGAAAACAATATTGATGAGAGTGAACCAAAACAGTAAAGTTGTGGGCCATAAAACCAAAACAATGAACTGAAGCATGCCAAAATGCTCCGTAGAGCAGAGAGGAACTGCATAATTGGTGATTATTCTCTGTGTGTTTGTCACAATTAGTGGTACATGTTGTCATGTAGTGCATGTAGTTTGAAGTTCGTTTTTGACCCCTACAACACCTTATTTGATGCCACATGTATCACCCACTGTATGTACAATATCTGATGGTTATATATGTTGGAAAATGCAGAATATACTGATTGCAGACAATATTGGTTATTACACAAATGAAGTGAGGTAGAATGAGGTGAAGTAGTGCAATTAGACATTGACCGTGGGTGAGAGGTAAAATGTCACTGTTAATCCAGGCATCATATCAGTTCTGATAAACGATGACACACACCGCCCTGCCTCACCTTTGACCCTCCACATACAACCCCATCGCTACAATTTCAAATGTCAGATAGAGCACTGTAGTGCTGCAGTTGTGAAACCATATCATGACCGCAGCATTCTGAAAGCACTTTAGTTCCTCTAAAAGGGATCCAGAGAGCAAACTGTATTGATTATGGCTGCTGTGGAGAGACAGTCTCTGTGGATGTCTGAGATAAAGAACAGAAAGAGCCATTAGGTGACAATTCAAGATCAATTTCACATTTCTTAAACATAAATTGTGGTGTAGTGGTAAAACTGTAACGTCAATACAAACCAGCCAGCAACTGTGCATAAATCAACACACAAAAACATTGGTATAAATATGTGTACACAGGCTCACACTATTGCTGATAAAGTAGCTCCAGCTGATTCAAACAGAGCTGTCTTATCTCAACCCAGTCTCACCAAGTCCTGAATTAACTCTTAAAGAGAGCTTTAAGTCAACACTCTCCAGAGACATTTCTGCAGTCTAGTCTAAACTTCAGTCTGGTGAATGCTGTTGTGGAGTTGCATTTGAGTCAACAAAATGTATTTCCTTGAACTTGTTCCTTGATATGAAACCAGAGAGGAATCTCTCCATTGCAGACTCAAAAAAGACTTGAGATGAACTCAGTGCAGGGACAGCACTCACCTCAGTCTCTGCTGCTCTCCATCTTCCCTCCATTCCGGTACATTACAATGAGCAGGAAGGAAATGGAGATTGAAAAAAACAAAACGCAGCCTACTCTTTAAGTGCATCCAAATCAGTGTGCACACACTTAATGCACAGACACAGGAGCTTATATCAAATGATTGTGTGTACAGTGGATGAGTGTGTTCTTAATGCACAATGCAAACTTGAACTTTGTATACAAACACACACTCACTTAAACTGTCCTAAGGGAGTTATCAGGCGGACCCTGTCCTTTGGTCTACATACACACACAAACACACACACACACACACACACACACACACACACACACACACACACAGTATATTTAAAGGGCTGGGCCCTTGAACTATCTCCCTCATTGTGACAAACAAACCTAAGAGCAGACTTCTATCCCCTCATACAACAGTTCAAAATGCCTGCAGATTACAATGGACGGTGGGAGATGGTGAGCAACGAGAACTTTGAGGAAGTCATGAAGGCCCTCGGTAAGTTGACTTTTTACTGCCTATACTTACTGCATAATGGAATACAATACAGCCGAAGGAGAGACTGTCGCTTGTATCTCTCATTAAAAACAGAAGTCAGTTGGAAGAATTTAAAGATGCAGCCAAGTAGGCAAGCGAGGCGTGAGCAAAAAATCTGGAATGAGTGAGACAGAAAGAGTGAGAGAGCAGCAGTCTGAAGGAAGGGAGGGGTGGGGGGGTTCCTGTGGCACTGCTTCATTTCCTCATTGAGCTGCTGTCAGGCCAACTTAACCTCCACTCTGTGAGCGGTTGCCGTCTGTTACCACGCCAAATAAATATTGATTCACTCCCTTCTGCATTTTCATCCTCCTGATCCGGAGAAAAAGAAGACAGATTCCGTCCCTGGATCAGGCGGCGGGCCAGCTCCTCATTTTAAAAAAGAGAGAGAGAGCTGGGCTCTCCTCCTTTAGGCGCGTCATTGATCAGGCCCAGAAACACTTTCATTATTCACGACTCTATCTGCAATTCATAAAAACAACCCCGGTACACTCAGCTCACACAAAATCCGGGAAATCCTGAGCGCCTGCACCTCATTTCCATCGAGCTGATAGGAAAATGACATCCTTATGGAAATGGGTCAAAAATATTATTTAGATGGGTAAATATAGGGGCCTCATCTGTAAGAGTGATGGGAGAAAATTGAATTTTCACTTTAAGGCAAATGGGATATGAATATCTTAAGGGTCGGGGTGGGTGGTTCTCTTTGGCAGGGCCCAGTGCTGAACGGGGTGGAGAAACTCATTTAGGCCCATTCTGACTCGGAGCAAGGTCATTTTTAAAGGGGAAATGAGACTGTCAAAACGACCAGCAGGAGAGGAATCTTAATCAGTGGCCTGTGCTGTCATGGGTGTCTACCGATGTGTGCTTTTGGTGTAAATGTGTACCAAAGGATTTCTTCAGTAAAAAAGTCAAACTTGTGTGTATTTGTGCTTGCAGACATTGACTTTGCCACCAGAAAGATAGCCTCCCACCTGCATCAGACAAAAGTGATCGTCCAGACTGGAGACAAGTTTGAAACAAAGACCCTGAGCACCTTCAGAAACTACGAAGTCAACTTCACCGTGGGAGAGGAGTTTGAAGAGCACACAAAGGGGCTGGACAACCGGAAGGTCAAGGTGGGACAGTTTTCTTGTATTTTAAAACTGAATTGAACAAGGAAAGTGCTCTCAATGAACAGCAGCTGGAATAATTACCACTATTTGTTAATACTAACCATTACAATGATGCTTGCCTGTGTGGTGATATCAGACAATGGTTACCTGGGACGGAGACAAGCTGGTGTGTGTTCAGAAGGGGGAGAAAGAAAATCGTGGCTGGACACACTGGATAGAGGGAGACATGCTACACCTGGTGAGAGAAAGTGTGACACATTCGTAGGTTGTTGAGTTGTTTGGCATGCAACATATATTTGCCAGGAAATTAGATTTTCCTGTGAGATCACAGCCGCAGCAGTAGCTTGCAAATTCTGTTCCTCAAGTCGGTCACATAACAAAAAAAAGTCAAAGTTAACACTGCAAAAATGAAAAGAAAAAACAATTTCTCCCTTCACTTGCATGATGAAATCTGCCCCAATCCTCATTTAGATCCAACTGATATGTGTTTTATCAATACGCAATAACAATGAAGATAATAAATCGTTATCTAAAAACAACAGCTGTAAGCTCTCTCTGCCTGTATTACATAACTAAGAGTGGCATCTGTTGCACATTGGAGTTGCAGTCTAAAAGTCTGTCTCTTCTCTTTCAGGAAATCACTGTGCTCGACAAAGTCTGCCACCAAGTATTTAAGAAGGGCCAGTAAGATGGGAACGACCTATATCTGCACAACGTCTTAAAAAACCTTTATGAAAATAACTTTTTGTCATATTTGCCAAGAAAGATTGTTGAGTCTCACTCACCTCAACTTTGGGACCCTGGGAATGAACCCTCAAGAATCAATTATCTTGAAGCCTCTAAACCAAAGTGTCTTTATATCTTTCTTGGCTCTGATTGGTTGTTTTCATTCAGGCCTGGTGGATTTTTGCAAATCCCATTCGGAGCACTAGAACGAGCCAGAGGAACCTGATTTTTTCACAGATTATCTGTCTCATGTACTGTCAGAATAAAGTGAAAATTTCAACAAAATATGACAAAAAGTTATTTTCATAAAGGTTACCTAATGCAGCTTTAATGTGTTGCATGTTGCTGTCTATTTATAATTTAATTGTGAAAACCTGTAATAAATTGATTTAATAACACCATTCATTTTAATTGTCTTTTCTTAAAATCTGTACTACAATTAGAGAGAAAGTCATCCATATTAAGGTCCAGTCCCCCTCAGTTTGTGTCCCCCATAGTTGAGTAATGTCCCAGTAATGATGCATTTCTATCAGACCTTTCCACTTTAAAGGATCGGTGTTTAGGATTTAGTGCCATCTAGCAGTGAAGTTGCAGATTACAACTAGCTGAACACTGCTGGCACCTGTATTTTTTGACGAGCTGGGTATGAGAACAGGAGGTGAAGTGTGTAGGAGAAAGTATGGCCCTATCTACAGCCAGTGTTTGGTTATTTTCGAGAAGGGTCCAACTGCAGTCCTCCCTCCTGAAGCCCCTAGTTCTAGTTGAGCATGAGTAATAGAGTCCATATGAAGTAAGTTGAGTAAACTTATTTCACAAAAACTACAAGTCAAACAAGTTTTAGGCAAGAAATAAACAATCCAGTTGCAGAATCTACACTAATAATAGATCTATGAAGCCTAATTGAAAAGTTTGTTATTATTTTCATGAGGCAAGGGCACAACTGCACTACCAGTGTTGTGGTTTAAAGAGTGACTGTGTTAACTGGTGACTTTTGTCAGGATGCCACCACGGAATTTGTTGCAAACACAAATATTGATATTAAACACAAATGAGTGTGTATTTAAATTGATTCAACACTACATCACTACAAGCAACCATTCTATACTACGTATAGTATACATTGGAATTCCCCCAGTGTAGGACAAATAAAGGAATATCTATCTATCTATCTATCTATCTATCTATCTATATCTATTTATAACATTATGTGAACTATAAGACCGAGCCATTGACTTCTGAAAGAAAATACAATGATTCCTCTATTATACACTAATGAAAACATACCTATGAATATTATATTCCATTTCTGCCAATAGTCACAATTATCACATATACATACCTTTTAAAACCATATAGGCTTCTGAAAGATGCCTGACTTATTTAAAAATGATGTCTCTATTTATACAAATGTATGTAAATTCAAAGGCTCCTGTGATGTACTGCAAAAAATGTTGAATTTAAAAATTAAAAAAAAGTTAAAATCTCATATTTAACCTGAAATTCTCTATAAGGTTAGCAGGAGAGCAAAGGACATTTAGATCCATGGTCAAATGTCCCCATTGGCTCAGTATGCAGTAGGGATTAAAGACTGAAGGGTAAACTAGGTGAGTTGTGTACCGTAGTATTTTGCAGTGTAGCACGAGCTCACAGGTACAACATGTTCTGCCGGATCTCGCGCTGCTCCTACAGGAAGCGCCGGAGGATCCACGTCGCCAAAAGAAACCGCGTCAAGTGAGACAGCGACAGACAGATTTTAACCGGATAATGGGCGTATTGTCTTCAAAATAAAAGCGTTACATTTACGAGTCCGAAACCATTGAAATAAATGGATCAAATGTCAGATACTGAAATAAAAACAGAGTCAGCACTTAAATTACCACTCTAGCAAATCAGATTACAATATCACATATTATCCACTACTGTAAAATGTACACCTAAGCAGGCTGTATGTACATATATGTAACAAACTATAACATTGTTCTTCTTGGAGCTATAGCCTATGTACATTGAGAGGTAGCCGAAGCTGGAGTAAGAATTCTTGTTTGCGTAAACATACTTGACTAATAAAACTGGTTCTGGCTCTGATTCTGATTATGACAATGCTGGTAATTATCATAATATTTGTATTTATTTATTTTTACTTACTTGCTAATTAATGGTGAAAACTACAAAATCATTATTCAATTATTTTCTTTTCTTTTTTCCAAGTGTCAGTCCCAATCTTGCTGTCCCATTTATAGTTTTACCCTCTAGTTTTATGTAAATTGTTACCTTTTTGAGAGAGCCCCAACTGCTACGAAGTTTATTGTGAAAATACATACCGGAAGTCGTTTTGTTTTTATTCTTGCTCGCTTGGTGACAAAACTTTGTCCACTGAGTTTTAGTGTAGAAGCTCGACCAGTGCTGCCGGAGGCCGGTCTCTTTACTGAACAGCACCGCAGACTGACGTGGAAACATGGTAGGCGGAACAAACAAACTTTAACAAATACTTTAACTTTGTTACTTTGTCGGTTGTGGCCTGGTAGTTCTGTTTCAGCGGAACGAGAGTGTGTGCGAGCAGAAACCAGCCATAAACTTTAACATCAGAATTGGAAACTTGCACAACACACAGTATAACTAGTATCCAGGAACCATATGCACCAACAGAATCCAAACATGGATTCTGAACATATTTAATATACTTTGTGATCAACAGAGTTAAACCCAGCACAGAGAAACATCATGCTTACATAATGTGAAAAGTTACATTTGTTTTTTTTTTTACATTTGTTTGTGGGAGATTTTTACCATACATTCATCCAGTGCTAAATAGATACAAGCGACACATTTTCATCTACATGAGAGGACTTGAAAGGATCCAGTCTTTCTGGAGCAGTCATGCATATGATATGTGGAATGGGAAGTATCAACAGACACACCCCCTCCATAACTACCCCCCCCAAAACCTGAAATTGTGTAACACTTTATTAATTATGTTTCCAGCTTACAATATGTAAGTCACTGAATTAAAAATGTCTATAATGCAGAACATGCCACGTATAATATACCACTATGATACAGTCTGCGGATTATTATCACAACCTCAGTCAGGATTTTTGTGCTGTATGTTTTTATTCCTCCTTAGACAAAATAAAACTTCAAATATAAACTATATTTTTAAAACACGTTTCAAGGAGTTTTTCATATGTCCACCTGGGCAGACAGCACGCGTTTGAGTTCTCTACTGAAGAAATTGTAATAAAATCATATATTATGGGGTTATATAATGTGAAAATATTGTATTTTTAATGTGCGTTTTATTGTTCAAAGCAATGCAAAAACATTAGAAATATAAAGACGCCAACTGTTACTCACCTACTGGGACTAATCTGCACAAAATATTGGTAAATCAACTGATTTACAGACAGAAAAGTTACTGCAGATGAAATATTGTCAAGAATAACAAAGTTGAATGAATACTGGGAATTGCAGTTGAAATATAGCCAGAGATACATGCTTTCCAATTAGTGGACAGATAATTCATCTTAATTTCCTCCCAACATAAAATCAATACGTGGACATTTTAACAATTGTATTACTCCTTAGCTGGTACTTGATGGTACCTAATTTTATTTAACTACAAGGTAAACATTTCTGGCCTTCCGTCGGCCATCTTGCATTTGAGAAATTTGTGTTGAACTTACAACTTCAGGCCAGTGGGTGGCAGTATACGGGATGACACCGCATCTACTGTGGTGGCTGAAGTGCAACTACACCATCAAAACCCATGCATGTACAATAAAGCGGCTTATGCATAGCTGTCCACTGTAGTTGCCTGAAATGGTGTTTTTTACAATCTTCAGGCAAAGAGCGTCAGTTGTTGTTGAGAGGATCTGATTATCTTCATCATCTTTCTGTTATTATAAATTACAGCCTCTGCGGTTGGACATCAAGCGGAAGCTGACGGCTCGGTCAGACCGGGTGAAGAGTGTGGATCTGCACCCCACTGAGCCATGGATGGTGGTCAGCCTCTACAGCGGCACTGTGGTGGTCTGGAACCACGAGACACAGGTCAATATCACTCAGTTACACATCCCTCTAATCACTCAATCTCTTACTGAGTCACCCCCACACACACTGTCATATTTCTTAATCCGAGCTATTGATTGTGCGATAGAAGTAAAGTCTGTATGCTGTTAATCTGCTTTGAATCCTGTGTGTGTAGACGATGGTGAAAACCTTTGAGCTGTGTGACCTGCCTGTCAGAGTGGCCAAGTTTGTAGCCAGGAAACACTGGGTCATTGCTGGAGCCGTAAGTATCGTAGCTCAACTGAAGCATTAATGTGTGTATTAAAGTTACAATTCATGTCCGTTACCTTCCTTCTCAGTATGTGGAAAGAAATTAAAGTTGTAATGAGCATTTAAGAAATAGGAGACAGTGACCGTAGCCAGATAAATCTTCCTTCTTATGTTATGTCTGGGACCAAATGCACTTGTCAATCTCTCTGTCTGTCCCCAGGATGACATGCAGATCCGTGTGTTCAATTACAACACTCTGGAGCGAGTTCACATGTTTGAGGCTCACGCTGACTACATCCGCTGTATCGCTGTCCACCCGACACAGCCCTACATCCTCACCAGCAGTGGTAGGAAAGAACTACATTCACTCGCACAAACACTAAAAGTTCAAATGTTTTGCCCAACTTTTTACATGCAGGGTTCTCAAACGTTCAGCTTTCCTAAGTTAAAAAGTCTGGCATACTCCTCATCCAGTTTTACGTGTTTTCAGATGACATGTTGATCAAGCTGTGGGACTGGGACAGAAAGTGGGCATGTAGTCAAGTGTTTGAGGGGCACACTCACTACGTCATGGAGATTGTCATCAACCCCAAAGACAACAACCAGTTTGCCAGCGCCTCTCTGGACAGAACCATTAAGGTATACACACACACAAATGTTTGTAAGAGTGCAAGATGGAGATTGCTTTAGGGAACAAACAGAAAGAGGTGCTGTTCTTCCACTTTAAATGAAGGTGACAAAAAGGAGGGAGGGGCAGGGACATTTTCTTCACAGTAAGTAAGGTTCATGGGAAATGTGGTCTCATTTTGAAAAACATTTCCACTGACAACGCCACTTGAAGCTTACAATCATCTCAATCAAGTTCTACTTAAACTATTAACAAAATGACAGTGATACACAAATATTTACAATGCGCCACAAATAGATATTAAATGTTTCTGTTATTCATAAAATCAACGGTCATCGGTTGCTCAGTGCATGTTTCTGCTCGGCCTGGGGTAGGTGTGGCAGCTCGGTTCCAGGACTCCCAACTTCACTCTGGAGGGCCACGAGAAGGGGGTGAACTGCATTGATTACTACAGCGGAGGTGACAAGCCCTACCTCATATCAGGGGCTGACGACCGGCTGGTCAAGATCTGGGATTATCAGGTACCTGAACTGTACGCTGAAAAGACAAGCATAAAGTTTATCCTGATAAGGGGCACTGAACAACAATAGAAAACAAAATGGAGCTCATTTTCTATATCATTTACACAACACGCCGAACAAATACACTTCTCTTCTTCCAGACTGACATACTGTCCAATTTCAACAAGTGGTAAAATACTAGATCTCAACTGGGCACACAAAGAGCTTTGCTTTTTAGGTAAATTATATACGACATAATTCTGAGAACCAAGTACATTTACTCTCAGTAAGCACAGATTCTCTGACCAGCATAATGTTGATCCTTTCTTTGTTAAAAATGCCTCACCAAATCAATACTTATAGAACAATGTGCACATCTCTTTTGACCCAGAGCCAATCATTTGTTTATCCCAGATAGATATATCTCTTGTCAGTGTAATAAATGTGTACAAAAAATAAAATGCTTGTGGGTCCAGTAGTATGCGAGAATAGCTGCGGACAGATACACACATGACCGCAATCATAATCCTCCTCCTTCAGGCTTATGCCTGGCAGAGATAATAAAACTTGTTACACTCCAGTCTAGCAGATAGCATATGCGTATTGTACTTTATGCTATATATTGATAACATACACGCATGAGCTTGTGATAAGTGTATGTGCTGCGTGTCTTTATCTACCAGAACAAAACCTGTGTTCAGACTCTGGAGGGTCATGCCCAGAATGTGACCTGTGTCAGTTTCCATCCTGAGCTGCCAATCATCCTCACAGGCTCCGAGGATGGTGGGTTGTATATTTTTATGAAACATTTTAAAGCTACACACAAGCAGAAAATCTGTAGCCCAAAATCTGTGCAGCATCTTGGCTCAATTTGACCTCTTGTTGTTTCCTTAGGCACTGTTCGAGTGTGGCACTCCAACACATACCGACTTGAAAACACGCTCAACTATGGCATGGAGAGGGTGTGGTGTATATGTGGCCAGCCTGGCTCCAACAGTGTGGCTATGGGCTATGATGAAGGCAGCATCATCATCAAGGTATATTGTGTTTTCTCTTAGAATGCTGTCAATATTTATTATTAAGTTTTATTTTTGCATGCATTACATTTTAAGCACTACATGCTATACTGTTTTCTCTAATTGCTGAAATTACAAATTACCAAGACTATAAGGTCAAGGGTCATGGTCTTACCATATTTAGAATGAATAAAGTTAAGCTGTAAACTTGCAGGCTGATGTGAACCTTATCTCAGAAAATGTCAAAATGTAATGCATTGGGAACATTTCTCAGTTAATACAGTTTTTCCCAGTCTCAGTCTTACGTTGCTTTCAACCTCTGAACGAGGTTCAATCAATGGGCTCTTTGAAGTCCCTCTTTTGTCAATGTGGCCATGAGGACAGCAGCCAGACTCATCTATATAAATAGTCAGTAGTCTCTAAGCAAATCGAATGTTAACATTTTGTTTTAAACTTTAAACAACATCCCAGGTTATTAAAGCCCACAAATCCCCAGAGACACATGACCTCTGTATCCACAATAGCCACAATGGGCGGTCATATAATACACACTCAGTTGGAGTATATTATATAGCAGATTGTGTAAATTGAAGGAATATTCTGTAATATTACTTATTTTTACAAGCTGTTGTCTGCCTTTCTTCTTCTTTTTCTTATCTTGCTGATCTTCCTCTCTCCTCTCTGGCTCAGCTTGGTCGGGAGGAGCCGGCCATGTCCATGGACTCCAGTGGGAAGGTCATGTGGGCTCGCCACTCTGAGGTGCAGCAGGCCAACCTGAAGACCATGGGAGAGGCTGAGATCAGAGATGGAGAGAGGCTACCGCTGGGTGTCAAAGACATGGGCAGCTGTGAGATCTACCCTCAGACCATCCAACACAGCCCCAACGGGAGGTGAGACAGCGGTGCACTGTGGGTGGAAGCAGTGGTGCCGTACAGAGATTGCGGGTTGTAGACTTTCTGTCCTATTCTCTGGCTGCTTTATCACATCTAGACCTTAATATTTTGATCTTTAAAATTTGACAGTAAACATTATGTCCAATGACACAGATTGCTGGTTTGTGTTGATTTACTTTTGAGCCTGTGCAAATATGCTCTATAACAGTGTTCGTATTCATAAACAGCCACACTTATCTGAGAGTAATGCAGTTAAAAAACAATGGAAATAATACTGAATGGAAATTTTAATGATTGATCATGAAAGTATTGTTCAATTAAACAAAACATTATTGAAATGAAAATGTATATGTCATATGAAAAGGGTTTTATTTGGCATTGTGAGCATTTTTATACAGTTGATATGTATGTTCCTGTTCAAAATGCATATTATATATTTTACCTTATTAAAGTGTATGTACTGGTTGGATCTATTGACAGAGGTTAAAGTTTTAATATGATTTGGAGTTGGTAATATGGCTAATTTCCTCCCTAGCCACATCCAAAGCATGCATTAAATTATTTTCTTTTTTATTTATGTGAAGTTCTAATAAAACCTGGTGCATGACTGCATACTGGCATGCTTGCTGATTCCTTTGAGTTGAGATTTGTGTGCATCCATAGCTGACGTTTCAAAGTATAATTTTGTATCCAGACATGTACTATCACTGTTTTGTGTCTTTGTGTTTTTTTGCAGATTTGTAGTGGTGTGTGGAGATGGGGAGTATATCCTCTACACTGCCATGGCCCTGAGGAACAAGAGCTTTGGCTCCGCTCAAGAGTTTGTCTGGGCTCATGACTCCTCACAGTAAGTCCTAAACACCTTTTAAAGGAATAGTCTGACATTTTTGTGGAAATATAATTATTTGCTTTCTTGTCAAGAGTAACCTGAGAAGATTAACACCACTCTAATCTCCGTATGCTGAATAGAGCCCCAAAGCCAGCGTGTGATTAGCCTAGCTTAGCATGAAGACTGGAAAACGGCTAGTCTGGCTCTGTCCTAAGCTCAAAAATGTACCTACCAGCTCTCTAATTAACACAATTAAATTTGAAATTAATATTTAATCCATACACCTCTCTCTGCGGCTTTACATGAAATTTTGGGGCTGGAACTATTTCTTGGCTGGACTGTAAAATGACAACTTCAAACAAACAAGCTGTAACTTGTTAGTTCATTAGCTTTGGTGGTGCTAATAGGCAGATTTCCTTTTACTCTGGACATAGCCAAGTTAGCTGCTTCCCCCTGCTTCCAGTCTGTATAGTATGCTAAGCTAACGTCTCTTGGACATAAGAACATGAGACTCTCTCACCAATAAGTGTATTTGACAAAATATCAAACTGCTCCTTTAACTAATTATAACTAAAATATTTGTAAAAACAGTAATTAACATCACTCTGCGATGTGTTCAGGTACATTATATTTAAGTGTATTCATTATTTTCCTAGGTATGCCATCAGGGAAGGCAGCAGTATGGTCAAAATATTTAAGAACTTTAAACAGAAGAAGGCTTTTAAACCTGACTTTGGTGCTGAAGGTGAGCTTCATTTCCTATTTTGCCATTTGATGTGACAGCGTGTGTGTGTGTGTGTGTGTGTGTGTGTGTGTGTGTGTGTGTGTGTTTAAAGTACACATATGTGTGCACTTCAGTGTGTAATGCTTAAATCCTGCTGTCCCACAGGTATCTTTGGTGGCTTTTTACTGGGAGTGAGGTCAAACAGTGGACTGGCCTTCTATGACTGGGAGAGCGCTGAACTGATCCGCCGCATTGAGATCCAACCTAAACATGTGAGTCATTCTGTTACGGCTCTTACATCTCCAGCAGTCTGTCTATTGCCCTCTTTTAATACCTTGTCTTTCCTGTCTTTAGATCTTCTGGTCTGACTCTGGGGAGCTTGTGTCTATCGCTACAGATGAGTCTTTCTTTGTGCTGCGTTACCTACCAGAGAGAGTGGCAGCAGCCCAGGAGTCCAAGGAACAGATGACAGAAGATGGGATAGAGGATGCCCTCGAGGTCAGGGTCCCATAATAGTGTATTTCCTGAAAGACTGTGTAGAGATTTAATTTTCATAGCTGAAATGCATGATGAAAGGCAGAAAAAAGTGTATTAGCTTGCATGTTTTTTTTTTTTTTTTTTTGGTGTCAACAATTCATTTGCAGTAATATGGAAAAAAATCTAAACGTTTGACATTTTTAAGAAATTTCAACGATTATCTCAATGATTATTTGTGTCTTTATTGTTCCTTTTGCTGGCCAGGTGCTGGGGGAGATCCCAGAGGTGGTGAAAACAGGGGTTTGGGTGGGAGACTGCTTCATCTACACCAGCTCTCTTAACAGACTAAACTACTATGTTGGAGGAGAGATCATCACCATTGCTCACCTGGACAGGTACGATGCAGCGTTACAGCCATGTCCCTGGCGTGCTGTATGGCGTGCTGTATGGCGTGCTGTATGGCGTGCTGTATGGCTCTCATGCCGTCCCCCTTTCTCTTGCTATCCAATAAATTAAAACTGCTCTTTATATGTGTAGGACCATGTATCTGTTGGGCTACATCCCCAAGGACGATCGTCTCTACCTTGGGGACAAGGAGCTGAACGTCATCAGCTACTCTCTGCTGCTTTCAGTGCTGGAATACCAGACAGCTGTCATGAGGAGGGACTTCAGCACGGCCGACAAGGTTCTACCCACAATCCCCAAGGAGCAGAGGATCAGGGTAGCCCACTTTTTGGAGAAACAGGTATGTTTGTCCTCCAACTCTTGTGCAGCTCTGTGCTTTTCTTTCTGCTTGGACTGACTATAAATTCAGAATTTGGATGAATGCATAATTTACTGAACATCAGGCAGCCAGATGGAGTAAAACCTCTGGGCAGAATTCTTGTGTGTGTCTTTTAAAATATATTTATCATGGGAATGGTTTTGCTTCTCACGCAGTTTCTTTTACCACTTCACTTTTTCACATTTACATTAGTTTCACAGAGCAGAATATATGGAATTAAAATATGTGTAATGTGTTTTTTTTGTTTCTTCTTGTGTTGTGTAGGGCTTCAAACAACAGGCCCTGGCTGTGTCCACTGACCCAGAACACAAGTTTGACCTGGCCCTACAGCTGGGAGAGGTCAAGATAGCCTACCAACTGGCCTTGGAGGCAGAGGTCAGAACCCACATGCACATACAAGCAAAAGCAAGACATAAGCTGTATTCGAAATCCAAATCAACTGTAAATACATGCATATTAAAAATAGTAAAAAACCTGCTTGGAATCAGTATGTAGTACGAGTTTGAGACAGGACTATACAGCCACAAAAACGGCTCTGTGAGGCTGTATTTAGGAACTTTGAGCTACAAGCTTACATCTGCATGCTAACACCATTGAGCAATGTGCAATCTGTTCAATAGTTGATGAGACATTTCATCCAAAAGCACAAATGTTAACCTCGTGGTTGCTCTAGAGGAAAAGTCGGGGATCAGGTCGGTAGGATCCATTTTCTGATAACTATGAATGGCTGTATAAAATCTCATGGCAATCCATTCAATAGATGTTGAGATATTTCAGTCTGTAGCAGTGGACTGACTGGCATTATCACCCCCACAGCTAAGCCTCCAGCATGGCTAAAATCTATACAAATGTAAATGTCTAGGAGGTGAATGCTAAGGTTTGCTGTTGTTGCAGCTTTGAAGAATGACACTCCGGAGATGTTATGTGCATTACCATGTTGGAATTGTGTGTATTACTTTACAGCTTAGTTGACCCCATATTCATAACAAAAAAGATTGCTCTTTTTGGAGGAACTTTTGCAAATTAGTTTCTATTATAATAAAACTATCAATAATGTAAATCAGTTTTTGTTTTAAATGATTTTAGATGTGTAATCTGCTGGATAATGTATATAGAATCTGTCATTGTGAGTCACAGCCCTGGCCTCCCATAACCCAGTAAGTGCTTCACAGTGTATTGTTGGTTCATGCTTTTCCTCCTGTGATAATCCTCTCTCCTGTCTCTTTGGCACCTTGGCATGTGGGGGCTCCAGTCAGAGCAGAAATGGAAGCAGTTGGCAGAGCTCGCTACTACAAAGTGCCAGTTTAGCTTGGCACAGGAGTGTCTGCACCAAGCTCAGGATTATGGGGGATTATTGCTGTTGGCCACCGCCTCGGGCAACGCCGACATGGTGGGCAAGTTGGCCGAGGGGGCGGATAAGGATGGGAAGACCAACGTGGCCTTTCTAACCTATTTCCTGCAAGGAAGGTGAGTGGAAAAAGTGGGGGAAGGGAAGGGGATCTATGTTTGAATCCAAATTTCACTTAACTTGTTCATATATACCTAAATGATTTTATTGTATTATTTTTGTCATCTTAACTTTTTTTTATATTTACCCAGACTGGACAAATGTCTGGACCTTCTCATCAAAACAGATCGGTTGCCAGAGGCTGCATTTCTTGCAAGAACGTATCTACCCAGCCAAGTATCAAGGTAATGTTGTTTCTATTGAGTTCACTGCATATGCTTATGCTCTTGTGTACTGCCTGCCTTTATGTGCATACATTAATCTTATATTCCATATTGGCATAAACCAGTTTAATTTGTAATAAATGCCTGTTTTTGTGACCCAGAGGAAATCACATTTTCAGTTCAAATCAAAATCTTTGGGAAAATTATGCTATTATGCTAAAACATTTTGAATATCTATTTCTGTGTGTATATTTACATTATGCATCACCGGTGAGCTGCATATGCTTCCCTTCCTCCAGGGTGGTAAAGCTGTGGAAGGAGAGTCTGTCCAAGGTCAACCAGAAGGCAGCAGATGCTCTGGCTGACCCCATCCAGTACAGCAACCTGTTCCCTGGCCTCCAGCAAGCCCTGCTGGCTGAGCAGTACCTGAAGGAGACTCACGTCAGGGTCAGGCCTGCTGCAGAATACCCGCTCATCATGGTCAGTGGAAGTCAGAGGAAGTATACTTAAAAACTTTAATACATGGAGGAAGGATTGTATCCTAAATGATGCACAGGACTAGATTCATTGCTGCATAAGTTGTAAAATGTCCCAGTTTTTCTTTGTCAGTTGTTGAATTGGGATTTTGTTGAATTGGGATTTGGTCTCTTACATGATGTTTTGGTCATTCATCATTATTAAGATTACATTTTGGCTGTTCCTCTATTCTTCAGCCAAATGAGGACCGTAATATTCTGGAGGAATCTGCCAGTTTTGTGCCCAAAGAAGAGATCACAGAGCCAGAGGTGAGGACCGCAACCTTCATCTCTACATGATTCATTATATCAAGCCGTTGTTCCATTAACTGACCCTGTGACCAAAACTTGGAAATGTAGGCCGTTACTGAATTAATATTTGAATGCAAAACAGCTTTTTTTGCTGCCTTGGATGGTGGCTAAAAAAAAGTCTCATATCTACACTGTCAGACTGCTAAAGCCTTATTTTAGTTACTGCTGAACTTATGAATGAAAGTTTGCACGGACCAAGGACTGTGGAGTTATACCAATATCACAACTTCAGACTGAAGTAGCTTTAAGAAGGGATCTCTTCAGGGCCAGTATGGTCAGCAGGAACAATTAGAGTAACTAAAAACCAGTAAATATATAAATAAATATATGCATACACTCAAATACTGTACTGGTGTACACTCAGAGAGTGTAAGAGTTTACATACAAAAACATATCATAGGTATGAATCTAAAATTGAATGTATTGCTAAAGATTAGACCAGTGATTCCCATCCTTAGTTAAGCAGTTCTTCCAAAGTGGCATTTCCCCTCGAAATGCATCATCGTTTCCAGACCAAAAGAGGGGACATAATCCAATATTTAATGAACAAAACAAAGATGAGAGAAAAGACCAAACATGTATACAAAATTGTGAAAGAGAACTTTTTTCATCTCACATCCCTCAGATTTATCTTTGGAGGGGACCAATCCCAGTTTGGAAACCACTGGACTGAACTAGCTAACTGTATATGAGTCCTTTAAAACTATCTCCATCTTAAGCAGCTAAAACAGTAAAATGTTATTTACACATTGATAATATAATAATATTATATTATATATTATAATAATTGTCTGCTGAACAAGTACTTTTACTTTCAAGACTTGATGCTGATAATACTTCTGTACTTTTACTGAAGTGGGATTTTGAATTTCTGAATGCAGGACTGTTTGAATGTTTGACTTTAAAAATCACTGGGTTACAAGGGGTTGTTCTGATCCAGTGACTCAACAGTAATATAAAACCATATACAGGCCAAATGTGTCGTAGTGGAGCATTTTTACATTTATGTATTAATACTTTTACTTAAGTAAAGGATCCAAAGGCTTCTACCACTACTGACTGTTTCAATGTATGGGCATGTGAGTATTGTATGACTTGTGAACCTAATTCTGCTTATTCTATACACAGGAAGTGGTAAAGAGCACAAATGAAACAGTCATGGTAGCAGCAGTGCCAGAGGCTGCACCTGTAGAAACAGCAGTGGTGGAGGAACCCGTTCCACTAAAACAAGAGATTATTGATCCTGTTTCAACAGCAGAAGAAGAATCTATCCCAACAGCAGCATCCCCTCTGCCCGTCACAGTAACAGAAGAGCACATTGAACCCAATCAAGCAGAATCGATGTCTTCTGAGGAGGACACCATCACTAAATCAGAGGAGGCTTCACTCTTAGTGGAGGAAGACATTTTGGAGCCCACCACAGAGATTACCCCCACAGAGCCAGAGATGGTACAATCCAGTCCTGTGGAAGAAGTTAGTTCATCAGTTGAGACAGATGTTCAGGAAATTTCTCCAGCAGCTGATGCTGTACCTGATGTCTCAGAAACCATCATGGCAGCAGAAGACACACCAAGTGAGACAGTGGCAACAGAGGATGTCTTAGTTAGCACTGATCTGCCAGTTGATGTCATAGAGTCTATAGCAAGTGCTAAAATGCCCCTTTATGAAGAACTGGAAACAGGTATAATCTCTGCAGAAGCACCGACCATCATAGATACAGCAGCAGAGGAGACTCACGTTACTGAGGAGCTTGTTTCAGAAATAGCAGCATTACCTGTAGCAGTGGAGGAGCTCATCTCCTTTGAAAACACAGCCAGTCTAGAGCTGGATGTGCCTGTCCAAGTGCAGACTTTTCCAGATTTGACCCTTGATCCACTCCTAGACCCGCTCGAAGATACAATGCCAGTATTGAAGCCAGTGGCAGCACAAGAACCAGAACAAGAGGAACAAACCCCAGCACTCCCAGTAAAGCCTGAGGTCAACCTGGAGCCTGCTGTGCTTCTGCAGGCTGAGCCAGAGGTTTTATCCCCTGTAGCGGCTCCCGCAGAGGAGGACGTAGCAGAGCTGGGGGTAGGTCCTGAGGAACCAGCAGAGGACCTCGAGGCAGAGCTGAATGAGGAGGTAAATATCTATTTTCAGACCTGTGACAAAACTGGGGTGCTTATGGACTTTGTTCTGTAATAAAATTAAGAATTCTTCTTTTTTTTTATGTAATGCCTTTTGTTTTCTACCTGTAGGCCCTGGATGATCTGGATCTGGACAATTTTGACCTGGAAGATATTGACACCACAGATGTCAACCTGGATGAGGATTTCTTGAGTGAATAGGAAGAGAAACCTTTCTCGAGCCTAAGTGTCTTTTCAGTGACCAAAGAACAAGGGTTATTTACCAGGACAACAAGCTGTCAACAGGCTAAAATGGCTTGTCCTCTTTGTGGTACTGTAGGACTCAATAGTTAAAGTACACCTCCAAGAAGACAGATTTAACTTCAAATTAAGCCACAGCCCTGATGAACCACTCTGACGAGTCCAGGTTGTTAAAAATGTATGAAAAGGGAAATTGGGATAAGAAATAGAAAGAAATACGAGATACATTGCAGCTAAAGTGTCCAGCTTAGATTGTTCTTGATCTTTTTTTTTTTACACTACACATTTTCTATTTAACCAATACTGCAACCATCATTTTTGATGTGTATTCACATCAGTTTACAATAAAAATCTCTATTTTAGGGGTAGAACGCTACAACTGACTGCAATATGCACCATTGTGACAAATAATGAATCACTCCCAGTTCCTCTTCTTCCTCATACAGTCTAACATCACTGTTGATCAGGGTGTTGACCAAACCATGGAGGAATTCAAGTTTAAATATTGATTTAATTCTTGAAGTGAAATTTAACCATTTATTTTCTCTAACATTCCTGCTGGATCTTAGTTATTTAGAGCAGTATTTTTACATGTTTATCTGGGACAAAGCTGCCTGTGTCTTCTGAATGTCAGGATTTTTATATATATATATTTAAAAATGCTGAACAAGCACATTATTTGGACAATCCCCTATTTGGTTACTCAATGTCTGTATTACCTCTTAGATTTTGATGTCCTAATAGTTTGATTTACCTCTCAAAGCTTTTAGTTTATCAGATAAACTGATATGAAATACACAGTATGTTTCTATCACAGGCGCCATTAGTGTATTTCTAAGACTGTATGGATGGCTACTTTGTATCTGGACCTCAAAAGTGAAATACATGAATAAAGTCTTCCATGTTATCCAGACCTCAAGTTATTTCACTCTGACATGCCACACAAGTACAAAGATCTTTATTTTATTATGTACATCACTTGACTTAGCACATCAGGTTATATAGACAGTAAAAGCAATGCAATTACTCGACATGGATAAATGACCAACTTTGTGCATCTCACAAGCAGTAGAAAGCCAATTCTGTGAAGTGTACAGCTTCCCTTTCAGCCTAGGAGTTATTACGTTTTGAAAGAAAAAGCCGTTGTATTTCACATATGGGAGGTGATTTTTCAGTCCATTCCTATGGTTACGGGTACGACTCCTCAGCGAAGAGGAATGGCAGCAGAGCTGTTAGCAGCCATCTGTTCATACGCCTGCAGGGCCAGCTCGATGTAGCCTGACCTCTGGGACTCTTTCTGGGCGTAGATCTGCAGGGACAAGGGTCGAAGGTCAGCAAAATGGAGGAGAGAAAGGTCACCACGATTACTTTGAGGTTGAAAAGAGTTGTTCTAAGAGTACGATCACAGTATTAATTGTTTTAGTGGCAGACTAATATAACACAGCTACGTTACGTTCTCCGCAATCAAGCGTGACTAAATGAGAGGCCTTCCGTGACAGTGACTGTAGCAGACAGACATGCACCCTCGTCTCCTGCCGCTAACCTTTCACATTAAATGGCTGTCACTCTCAATGTCCCTCCCCACTGCTTCAAGGCCAAGAGGATGTGAGCGCTAATAAGACCTGATGTGTCCTGGGCTTGGCCCCGCAGTTCCCACGCTGGAGACAAACCCAAAACCTCTCACAGAAGAAACCTTAGATGAGGCGGCCTTGACTTGACCTCTCAAGAGCTACACTGACTCCTGATTTACTCCGATACCCGAGGGACACAATGTATATGACCTGGACAATTTCTGGATCAAATGGCAATATATAAATATACACATGGCAAAGTGAAAAGAAGTGTACAATACAGCTACGAGTCAGCAGGTATTTCCTGCCAAGGTTGTGTGCTCTCACCTTCAGCAGGTTGGTGCCAGTGGCCTGCTCTCTGGCAGCTTCCTGGGCTGACTCACTGTTGGGGTGGACCATGTTGAACAAAGACACTAAGCTCACTGCATCCTGGAACCTGGAATCACACAAGCAGGGCGCTTAGGTCACAGCTCTTTGCCAGCAGGTACAGTGGCTGGTGTTACCATAGCTCAATTAAAAACCAGATCAAAGTAACACCACTGTATCGACCACGCATGCATTCATCACACGCACAAACTCACAGCTCTTTCTTCAGCATGTCCAATATAAGCCCATCCACCCTGCGAGCATTGAGCAGGTACCAGGCCATGCCTCCGAAATGTCTGGTGGAGCGCAGCAGCTCATATTTGTTGTGCTTGTCCAGGTCCTCGTAGGTGGCTGCATGTACCTAGACATGAGGCACATAGAATGGATATGATCCAAATGTCACTGGATGTACCAGATACTGTAGCAGATCCACGTTAAATGGATAAACTTCCAATCCACACTCTCGTTCCATTTTACACTTTACATTTACCATATCCAGTGACCCTAAAAATATATAAAAACTGACTGTGCACAGGCTATACACAGTCTGCAGGTTTCACTGCAGTTAGCAATCAGGTCCAAATAACAGGAAAATCAATGTCATCTTACCCTGAAGTATTCGGAAGAGTCTGGTTCAAATTGGACCAGACACAGGTCCAACACGTCTTCATGACGGTCCTGGGAAAACACCATCTAATAGAGAGGCATTGTATAAATGGTTCAAAAATGTGAAATGTAAAGCCTCCAGTGGACACCCACACAGGTGGTTTCACTTATTCCGCCAGATTAGACTCCTCTCAGGACTGTACTGGTGTTCAAAGACCTCAACATTGTCAGGAAAGACCATGTGAGGTGTGTCCCAGGTTTTGGTTTTAGTATTCAGTATACAATGAACAAACAATCTAGACATCTACATACACTAAAGAAAAAAAGTGTTTTGATGAAGAGGGTTATGATAAAGAACTTAGTACTACAAGCCTTTTTCAGTGCAGACATTTTGACCTGCAATAGCAGAAAACTCACTGGTGTAATTTAGGGCAGCCTGTGATATCTAGTACAAAGTGCTCAAAATTAAGGACATCCTGTTGTCCCGGGGACAATATAAATAGCCCCTGGTACACAAAGATACCTTGTCTGGAATTCTGGACAGCAGAGAAATTGCATTATTACAAATGAAATGATTACATTCAAGCATCATGGAATATAATTGATTATATATAATGCGTGGCATATGCTCTTTCTCTCTAGATCTCTGGATTAGGGTGTTTCTTATATCTGACTACTTTTCAGATTTTTTACTTTAAATATTCAATGTCCATGTAGTAAGTTTGTGGCGGACCAGGGTGAGTGAATGAAGTGATGCAAGTTACTGCAACAAAGTTATTAAACTATATTCATTATGTTCAGTTTGGGACAATAGTTGTGAAGCCTGGGACATCTGAACGTATAATTTGAGATGGTTGTGAGACACAGGGGGAAAAAAGTGAGCTTTGAGCCCTGCTAGTAGCACTATGGAATGGTTTCTTTAATGAGTGGGTCACCAATTCAAAATATTTGCTGTGAAAACAGGCCAGTACAATAATGTTATTAAATGGTAGTAAGAGAGCTTCAATATTAAAACCAGAACCAGAGTAGATCTAAAAGTATAAAATACTTAGAAAACAATTTCCTACCTTGAGATTCTCCTCCTTGAAGATGAGAGGTGCTACGAGTTTGCGTCCCTCCTTGGGGAAGTAGGTCTGAACGAGCCTGTCTCTCTCCTCCCAGGTCGCCTTCCTAAGGGTCCCACTGGGCTCCCGTACAACAATGAACCTCTCCTGGGGCAATAACACAGCATATACAGTTTATGTAGGGATATATTTGAGCAATGTCAAAGTCTTGCACCCATTAACAAAGCACAAAATTGATTGACATTCAACATTAAACATTTTTGATATTTATGACATAAGTTAGAAAACTAAAAATAAGTTAGACAAATTGAGTAGCAATACGCCTCCAAAGTGTATTGTCCAATTTAAAATTGTTCTATTTTGTGATAGCACCCTAAAATGGCACCCCAACTGACTACCGATTTTACAAAACTTTACACACTTGTATTCAAAATTAAATAATGCAAGATCTGTGAGCAGCTACACAGCTTTCTGTAGCTGCTCACAGTGTTTCTGTAGTGTAAAGTCTGAGATCAAGAAATCACCCATCCAACCCCCAGTTAAAGACAAACGGAGAATAAAAGCCCATGTGTCTACCCTGTGCGGGATGTTGTAGGTGATGTCTGTGAAGACGTATTTGGCTGTGTCCATGCCATCCAGGATCTTGTCTTCAGACAGCACATCGTTGATGGGTTTCCTCTCTGGTAGGATGGGGGGCATCTTAAGCAGCTTTTTAGCCTGCTCTCTGGCTAACTCGGTCGCCTGGGAACACACACACACACACACACACACACACACACACACACAAAAGGATGAGATGAAACAGGTGTTACAGTGCTGTGTGTGTGCATGACTGGGAGGTTGTTATGGGTTATTTAAAGGGTACCTGCTCCAGTTGCTCATCAGTCATGAGTTTATATGAGGGCGGCTTCAGCTCCTGTTTCATGGGTCGGAACACTTTCTGCAGGTCCAGGCCGGTTATCCTGGTGAGGATGTCCTGCACAGCTGGATCTGTGATCTGTGGCTTTGCATTGTCCGAGAGGGCTGCAGAAAAAGTAACACTAGTTAATCTCTTGCACAAACTACATAACCAAAAGCACTCAAAGGTAACTATTTAGCTCCCTTCAAATTGGCCGATGTTACACCTACAATGTATAGTCACGACTGGGATGTAACAAGATAGCTTTAACAGAGATCTAATGCATATTATTTCTAACTGGTGGTAAAAGCTCACAGACCAGATTCTTTACAAATATTGCCAAGTTTAACTATAAAGTGTCGTGCCTTCCATATCTACAAGAGCTGTATCAATATATTGTTTATCATAAAGCCTCAAAAAGACATGCTATTTGTTCACCAAGCAGCACCTACTGTGATCAGACTTTCACAGTTCATTGAAATTAACGTTGTTATCAAGCTGTAATGTTAACGCTGTGGACAGCTAGCGCTTTGAACCATTAATATTAGATTTTATTACAAAGCTGCTAACACTTCATTAACTACAGCAACGCCGACTTTACATAAATACTCTAATTATTTGTAAACTATATTAAACATTATGCTACAGGGTCTATAGCTCTGCCAATATGTAAGAAAATCCTAAACTGACGGATTCGTTAAGGGGGTTTGACACACGCACGGAAAGTATCGAGGCTAACGAACCATGCTACAAGGTCAGTGTTGTAGGAAAGAAAATGAGCCAACTACAGTGATATTCATTGCATTAACACATACCGTTGTCTTGTGTGTCACTACAAAGCGTCCTGACGCTACATCTGACCAACACTTGCTTGCTCTTTTGAACATTTTTCACCCGAGAGTAGCTCCGAAATAAGCACCGTGCTGTACCGAGCGCCGCCATGTTTGTTATTACCTCATCGCGGCGACCTGACCTTTCACCTTACGGTTCGACAGCCAAGCGATGATGGGATATGTAGTTTGCGTTCGTGTGTATGCGTGTATGCATAGCCAATAAGTGTTTTGCTTGTCATTCCCACATCCCAGAGCCATTTATATATATTATATTATATGATATGATATTATATTATATGATATTATATCTTAATGGCTCGGCCACAGCCTATCGTGATCCATATCACCAACAGAGTGGACAGAAACTTAGTAAACAGCTTGGAACAGCTAATAGACAAAACCATCAGAACGAGAAGAAAACGACCGTGAGTTTTCAGTGCTCTGTATTTGTATCTGTGGCCCTTTTTAAAAGAAACTTAACATAAAAAAGCAAAAATTCTTTATGTAACAAATAAAACAAAACATTCTGTAAGAGCCCAGTTGTGAGACAATATGTTTTTATTTGTATTTATTTCATTTCTTTTTAATGATTTAAATTTGACCGGGTGGTTAATAACACTTTTTCCTTTGGTGTGACTCAGAAATCATATTTATTATTACTTTACACAGACTTTAAATATAATGCAAAAATTCATAGTGACTTCTAGTCATTGTTTAAAAAGAAACAATGCATGTTGACTGTTGATTGTTTGGCCCTGTTGATGTGGTGAGGGGCATCACGTGCAGTCAGTCTGGCAGGGAGCTGTGTTAGTCATCGTTTTTCTACCGTGTGACACAATGTAATTTCAACTTTATTTCAGTAAATGTTTTTAAACTTGATTACATCTCCTGTCATTCGTGTCATACTGAAGATACTGTGCCTATACAGCTTGTTTGTGGCCTATTGGCATCCAGAAGGAAAGCCACTACACATTCAGACAAGAACATAACACCAGAAAGAACAGTAACTGTAAAACTGTAAAATATCAACAGAAATATATATATATATATATATAATACTTGACTTTTAGTTTAAAAAAAAAATGTGATTCTGTTTTTGGCCAGAATCCTATAGTTCATAAGTATTTGGAACTCACAATGACAATTTAAACATCTTTTCCCAAAAAATCTTCTGAAATACTATTTAGCTCACCAGGTGGCACTATGCTACCAAGTATCCTGAAAACCTGCAATGCCTGCATTGGAGGATCAGCAGTAAAGCATCCTAGTCTTGCTCTCTGTGAGGACAGTTAGAGATAATGCTGATTTATACATATTGTATGTTTATATCAGACTCTCACAGCCTCTTTTGTCTATGTCCTCCGTGGTACAACTCTGTGTAGCCTACACACATTCCTAACTTGTCCTTACATTGTGTTCTTGAATTGGCTGATAACTTTAAAAAATCTGTCTGGATGATAAGAGCCGTGCTAAGAAGCTCAACACTGCACTTAGAAATACACACAACACTCACATAGGCTTATAAATGTACAAATGTCTCTCCAAACAGTTCTATTTGCTCACTCATATATTTTAAATGCTCCCGGATTTATACATTTTTAACCAAAATTATGTCATACAATTATTCATGATCATCAGCAATTATTTATGATGTGTTTGTTTTATTTTTTGTTTTTTGTCTTAATGATAGATTTTAATAATGGTTGAATTCTGCATTTCAACGGGAGAGTCATTAAGAAAAAATATTGTATGTGATCAAACATTTGGAGCAAAAAAATAATTTCAGCTTAAAAACTGACACAAAGTCTGAAAGTGTTGCAAGTGAAACAGATAATAGTGTCACCCAGTCTTACTGCAGGGCTTCATGTAGTCTAAAAAGTCCTTGAACAGTAGAGATACTGCACGCCAACAAAAGCTGTAGAGATAGGAAGAAGAACTGAGGATGAGTAACCCTTTCAGGAAGTGTCTGGCTCAGAATCTGCAGCTATAGCAGATTTTTATGCTTCCCATAAAAAGGCTCTAAACGTAAAAGAAAATTACGTTTGCTGTTATCATTAAACTCCTGACATTAAATTACAACAAGCCAGCCGGCAGTGGGTCCACATCTCCGTCTCAACTAACTACTGTAGATGCAAACAGTGGTTGAAGCTTTTTGTACGCATTAAAAACAAAAATCTGTCCAGGGGAGTCGGTGGCATTTTGATCCGGTGCAGCACGGTTTAGTCATTTTAGTTTATTTTCTGTGTTTGAAATCCACTTGTGGTGAAACTGTTTTGTGGCCTACTGTTATACAGAAGTATAAAGACTACGAAAATATCTTCTGGTGGAAATCTGATCAACTGTCACAGTGGAAGGAACAACGTGGTCCTGACTCAATCAAATATCTACTTAACGTAACGTAAGTGATTTTAATGTGGCCTTGTATTTTCTAATGTGTAATCAGCTGTTAAATGATCATCCTGACAGTATTGTATGTTTTATTCTAGAACTGTCAATTATTATACAATATAACACATATATATATATATCATAATCAACAAGCCATGAAAACCAACAGCCAACAATACTTTCTGACCTCCATACACTGTCTGTAGTTCTGTGCCCCAAACCAATTTGTTCCCAGTGAAAATGTAAAAAGTTAAATTACCTAAATAAAAGTGTTTTTAAATTCCTTAAACAGCTGGACACTGTAGTTTTTAGCAAACACTTCTCAAACAGGAGTAAATAGAGCACCGGTTTGATGGGGACTATTTCCAGTTGCAGATCTAGTGAGCTATAGTGAGTATTTGCAGCAGCATGATGGTGTATGTGGGAGGCAACTACAGTGTGTGTGCTCATGGTAATGAAGGAAAATGTCACCTAGTGCAACAGCGTGACTCGCTGATGTGTTTTAGTTTAACCCTGACCCACCAGACAAAAAAGTATGCATGAAGAAAAAGCATTCAAGATTCCCAAGCAGCTGACTTCCACTAACTTTGTGAAGAATCAAAACTTTAGAATAAAGCCTGCTTCACATTTTACATCATCATGGAGGGATTAGGAGATGAGATGAGATCACATGACGCCATCTCTCTCTCTGTTTCTGTCTAGCTCTCTCTATTCCCCTCACCGCACACATGCACAAAGTACAGTAACAGTCCCCAACATGCTACCACTGTCCACAAACCTACCACACAACCCTAGAGATCATTAATAAAACCTCATGTGCCACGCACAAACCCTTCCTCCAGGATCTTGTTTCCCCTCACCCCCAGCCTCACCCCTCCTCCTCCCTCCCTCCCCTACTAATCTGCAGTAGGATTTAGATATTAGGCGGACAGATGGAGGTGTGGCTCGCTCGGTAATGAGGTGAGCAGTGGCAGTGAGTCCGGAGGCCCAGACACCGGCGAAACGACGTGTGGATTGAGCTGTAAGAGGCCCCTACACAACCAGATGTACACAGCTGTCACACTGCTGACAGAAAGTAATCCTGCCACCCCAGCCCACTGCCAGAGAGAGAGACAGGATTAGTATCTCTCCTGTGGAGGTTTAAATGACTGCAAGTACTTTTGTTTCTATCTATCTATCTATCTATCTATCTATCTATCTATCTATCTATCTATCTATCTATCTATCTATCTATCTATAGGTGATTACGAACCGCCTGTGTAACTCTAAGTGATCCTAAAGTGGCACTCAGCTTCAGTGCACAGGTATGAAATGTGAAATGCTTGCTGCTGAATTGGAATTTCCGTTCACCTCCTGAACTGAGATTGAATTGACCCTGAAACAGAAGGCATGCAGTGGATTCACATGGACAGGGCTACTCTTGAACACATGCATGTGCGCACACACAAACACATACATACACACACACACAGATGCTGCAAAAAAGTTACTTCATACTCATTATTATATTATACATTATTATTATATTATTATTGTATTCAGACAGACTGATATATATTTTTCTTGATTCTGCAAGTGAGAGACTAATAATAATAAGACCAGTGCCAATTTCCATTGCACTTTCATTTGTTTTACTGTAACATTTTTCAGCATCTTTGACACAGGGCTCACCAAGTAAGACGAATACAGTGTGAAAAACAAACAGCAAACAATAATGCTTTAACAATTTAACACTTAAATTACGAGGGTTTGCATTAGAATATTTGCAGTGATTTGCTTTAAAACATTACAACATTTATAAGACTGAAGGTCTTTTCAGACTCACTCACAGTAAATGTGTTGTATAAATGAAAACAGGAAAGTACACTCATTCAGCTACTGGATTAAATAGGAAAAATGTAAGATAGTTTCAGGTACTCTGCTTTCTTTCAATCTTCTGCTACTTTATACGTTTACTACACTACATTTTCAGTAGGAAATATTGTACTGTTATCTGACTTTACAGATTTACATTTTTCCGTACAAAGCATATCATCATTTTATAAAACATGATGTACTGTTACAGATTAAAATACCCATTACTATTTGAGGTTATTAGTATTAGCTCCAGCTCATCCAGCTGCAATATGAAAATGCAACTTACATAATGCATCAACAATAATCCATTAGTGTATAAAATAAGATAAACCTCTGCAAAATATAATTCTGCATAGTGAGTGCTTTGACTTTAAATACTTTAAGTATATTTTGTAGCTAATACTTTAGTACTTTTTGAATGCAGGAATTTTCCTTGGAACTGAGTATTTTTAAGTAGTATTTTTCGAAGGTACTTTTAGTTGTATAAAGAATAGTAGTACTATTAGAAGTACTTCTTCCACCATCGCTCCTATGACAGTCAATAGGTTGAGTGTAAGAGTGTGTCAGCGTGACTGGGAGCAGCAGGAAGCTGAGAGGTGAAACCTGAGTGTAGAAGAGGGACTGGATGTGGGTGGGGGAGCGGGGGGAGATCATGGAAAGGGGATCCAGGGGGTGGTGTACCGGTAGGTGGGCGGGTGGGTGAACAACGGTGGTGGTGGGGCACTCTGGGAATGACTGGCCGCATATGTTTATTAAGCTTTCTGCACAGTGGACGGAGAACGGGTTCAGAGCAGGGTGAAACGGAAAGGTGTGTGTGTGTGTGTGTGTGTGTGTGTGTGTGTGTGTGTGTGTGTGTGTGTGTGTGTGTGTGTGTGTG